CAACTCATGTTTGTTTGTGAAAATGGTTTGGATTTGCCACCTGAAGTGGGCTTAAAGATTGCGGATTTTCCACCAAATATAGTGAGCTTAAAATGGGCTTAACAAAGTGGGCTTAAAATGCACATTTGTTGAATCGTTCCAATTCAAACAACATGCTTTCATCCACAGGCGTTCAAGCAGTTTAGCATTTATGCACATAGCCTCATTGCAAGCATGCTAATCATGGCAATATGGCAATCACACTTATGTAAGTATGCTAAAGCGTAAAGACTCACCGAGTACTCCAAGCCCAAACAGAAACTAATTAGAAAGATGCATGATCCTAACTATGTTAAGATGTCTAATGCAACACATGCAACCTGAAATTAATACGCTCAACTATTAATATGACATATGGATCAATTTTATAGCGATCTCGGGTTTGTCCCCTTTATGTACAGTGTTCCGGTCGTAGGTTCCGTGGAGTTGGTAGTTATATATCTTGTTGACATCCTTTAATTCTCTATGTTTGAGTTTTAGGATGTGTTGGGCGTGTTTCGAACTGGTAGGATGAGTTTTGGTCTCCAGTGTTGTTGCCCAGGTTTTTGGTGTTACGCTCGAGCGGATGATTCTGTGCTCGAGCGGAGTTCGTTTCTTCAGTGGTACACTCGAGCGGGTATTCTTGCGCTCGAGCGGAGTTTTCACACTTCCAGTATCTGGGCCTCTGCAAAACTTCTGCAGATGTGTTTTTCACGCTCAAGCGGGTTTCCTTACGCTCGAGCGGGTCACGCTCGAGCGGGTATGTTGGCCCTCGAGCAGGGTGTTCATTGTCAGCGAAGGTTCTGAGAGAGGGTAATCTACGCTCGAGCAAACTGGTTTTCGCGCTCGAGCAGATGTATTTTTGTTCTTGTGTCTTGGCGCTCGAGCGGTCCTTCTTACGCTCGAGCGGTTCCAATTTTTTGTGCTTGACGCTCGAGCGTTCTATTATCCGCTCAAGCGGATCATGCGTATATCAGTTGGCAGCTGTACACTTTTGAATCACATTTTAACATCCTTTCTCTCTCTTACTTTTCCGAAAAAAGCCATTTGAGAGCTTCTCCCACTAAAACTCAACTTCTCTTTAAGTATTGATCTAGTAGGAGTGATTTCCTCACATTTGGCCTTTATAAAAGTTGTGTTGATTGTCAAGGGCTACGTTTTGATTCGAGCATATTGAGTTTTGGAGCACTTTGGGTTTCGTCATCTTCTCTCTTTGAGCTCCAAATTTGAGGTAGGGATATCCTACTCCTCCTTATGAGTTTTGTCTTTGAATTTTAGCATTTTGATATGTTGGGGGTTGTTGGGTATTTTTGAGAAAGTTTGGGTCTGTGTAATTTTACAAAAGATGAGGGTTTGTTATATGTAGACCTATATGCATGTTTGATAAAGAGAAATGAGGCTAATGTTGAACTATTGAAGAAAATGGAACCTTAGTGTTGTTATGTAGATTATGGGTAAAGCCCTAATTACATTGATAAAATGATTTGTACAAGAAATTTAGGGAATTGAGAAATTGAATAGGAAATATTCAAATCAGAAAGGTATGGGGTTAAAAGGGTGTAGTTGGACTCACTTATCGCTCACCTAGTTAAACCGTTGTTAGTATATCAAATTGGTGCATTTATTTCCTATTTAGAAATAACTGTATTGGACTATCGGTGGAGGATAGTCGTGATTGTTGTAGGCAATCTATGATGATTAGGCAAACTAAAGCTAATCTATTGAGTATGCTAATGAACATAGTGATTGGTTTAATACATCAAAATGTTGTATTGATAGATTGAATTTGTATATGATAATTGTTTATATACATTGTATTGTGTGGGAGGAGAAAGGGGCTCTTGTTTGATTTGATATAGCACTAAAATGTTTATCATTATCATTCGTGAAGTATGTAATTGTTTGTTGATTTGATATAGCACTACAATGTATATCATTATCATTCGTGAAATATGGAATTGTTTGTTTGATTTGATATAGCACTAAAATGTTTATCATTATCATTCGTGAAGTATGTAATTGTTTGTTGATTTGATATAGCACTACAATGTATATCATTATCATTCGTGAAATATGGAATTGTTTGTTTGATTTGATATAACACTAAGATGTCTATCATTATCATTCGTGAAGTATGTAATTGTTTGATTGATTTGATATAGCATTAAAATGTATATCATTATCATCCGTGAAGTATGTAATTGTTTGTTGATTTGATATAGCACTACAATGTATATCATTTGAGAAATATAGGAATGTTTTTGTTCATTGTGATGCAGCACCAAAAAGTGTATCCACCATAAATTTCGGAAATGTTTTAGTGATGAACTATAATTGCATCAAATGTTTTGGCCAGGGTACTGAGCCTTGTTTCTAGACTCAAAGTTGAATAAGAAATGGAAAGTAAATTTGTAATATGGACTTGATTATCATAGAACAGAAATGTGATATAGGTGGAGGTGTATGAGTTGACCATCTATCAATTGCTAATCTTTTAGTCATTGATTATAGTTGGTTTAGTGTATTTCTACTGGGCTATGGCTCACCCTATATGGGACATCATTTTCAGGTACAGGAAGCATACCACCTCCAAGGACATAGCTTGAGAGGCTAAAGGCAGGCAGACGTTTGTGGTTGTATTATCTCTGTTGTATTGGATGTAATTTCAAGCCAAGGGCTTAATGTGTATTTGAGTTAGTACTCTCCTCTTTGTAACCAAGTGTTAACTTGGAAAACTGTAAGCCCGTAGGGCATTTGCTTTTGTTGTTAACATGTAATGCTTTTGTAAAGAATTACTCTGATGAATAGAATGATGTTTATTTCTTATATCAATGCATGTCTAAATTGATGGGATTAATGCTATTATTTTGAGGGCGTTACAACTTGGTATCAGAGCGTACCGGGTTCGAATACTTTGGGTATGTGGGATGTGATTAGTATCACAATGGGTTTGTCTCGCTGGTTAGAGACCTAGATGTGATGTTATGTACCTATGTGATAACATGTTTATGTGACTATGTGGGTATGGAATGTAGTTTCTTGGACATTGATTGGATCCTTGGGTTTCTGGGAGTCCTGTTGGAAAGGCACCTGATCAATGCTGTTTCTAGCCGGAACTCTAGTAACGCCTCGGGACTATCATTATCCGGAAATAAAATTCGTAAGTGCTTAGGTGTTTATGTGCTTACGTGGAATGAATTACAGCTGTCCATCGTGTTAGGATGCTAGTGTTATAGTTTCGGTACCCTTGTTGTTGTGCTAATACCTTTGTTACTTTTACTAGGATGACTAGACGAGGAAGTTGTGATTTCCCTCCTTCCGCACGAGAAGAGTTGAGGAGACAGTTTGTGGAGTTACGCCAAGGTACTACATCCTTGGTGCAGTTTGAAACATGGTTTGCTAACCTGTCGAGGTTTGCTCCAGAATTGGTGGAGACGAAGGAATTGCGTTGTTCGAAATTTGAGAGTAGGCTGTGTGATGACATCCGTGAAAGGATTGCGGGGTCATGGCATAGGAGTTATAGTGTGCTAGTCCGGGCTGCAACTCATGTGGAGGTAGCGGTACTAGCTATGGGGCAAAATAGGGAAGAGGCCACGGTTTTGAGTGTTGGTCGGGTTAGGGAGGAGGCTACTTCGACGACTCATGTGATTCAGAGTGTTAGTAGTCCTTTTAAGAGGCAGAAGGGTTTTAATCCACAACAATTTCAGAGAGCTCAGTCCGGCTCTACTTTTCCAGTGCCGAGTCTAGGTTTGGGAAAGGGTGAACGTAAGGTTGTCACATGTTTCGAATGTGGTCAGCTTGGCCACAAGTCCCTAGCTTGCCCACAGAAAAAGAGAGCAGGGTTGGCAGTCCGACCTGTACCATCATAATTATCTAACAGCCAGATTTTTGGGCCGATCGGAATGTCGGTATTTGAAGACAAGTCGTTTGGGGTCTTCACAGCTCAGACTTTGAACAGTCTTGTGCTAAGGAGCCGTTTACTTGCTTGGGCGTGTAATCAGCCAGGTCAATGAGTCGTTTTCCGACAGTTTCATCGGGAAGAATGCAGTGGATCGTACTCTAAACCGTGATAGTAGTTAGGAGAAGATAGGGGAATGAAACTCCGTAGATACACAGCTCATATCTGTCTAGAGAATGAAAGATAGAGCTCATATGCTTATCTTTGTCACGTTGGTAAGATACAGCTTATATGCCTTATCTGTGAATGTGGGATATTGTCGTTATACCCTACAATGTCTGAGCAATTGGACTTAGTTTAACATGCTTAATTAGGATCCATACTGTGCAATGTGGGATATACAGAGGCTCTTTAAAATTCACCTATTTCTAGTATTGCAATCGATGAATAGAGCTGACATCATGACTTAATCTTTATGACAAATGGGAAATAAGTCGGAAAAAGTCAACCTTACTCAACACTCGTATAGACCCATGGGTCAAGGTATATTGCTAGTTTAATGTGAAATATCGTTTGCTGTATGCTACTATTTGGCCAATTTCTAATCTTCTTTAGTCCACTGCGCGTTCAACATCGGGTTGGGGGAGAGTTTTAAGTGTATATTGTCTATACAACTAGTGCGTGTTGTGGATGCCCTGCTCACACCCTACATGTGGCAACTTAGGGTCATTTTCTCAGGTACACTGTCTAAGGGCATACCACAAAGATCACAGGACTATAGCTTGGCCTAAGTCGCGGTACATACCTCCTTTGTCGTGATCATTTGACTGTCTGGTTTTTTTACATGTAGCACAGTTTCAGGGCCAAGGGCTTAATGTCTAAATCGCAGTTAGTAACCTTCTTTTGTTTTACGGGCCAGACCAAGCTCGGTTATTAAACTGACGACATGCATTAGCGCCATGGATGGAATTTTGGCTTTTGAGAGTTGTTTTGAACTATGTTATGAACACATCTTTTTGCTAAGAGACAAGCTTCTACGACTCGAACCACACTGTGGTTTTCATCTTGGCATTCTGCTCAATCTGGCAATGATTTTTTGGAAATTGCTTGGTTTTTTTGGAAATGTCAATTTCATCATTGTGTAGAGGTCGCTATCACACGGACTTGGGAGTTCAGAGCCGTGCACCGGGTTCGCGCATAGGCTTTGCGAGATACGTGGGCGAGGTGATTAGGATTCATCATTTGGGTTGTCTCGCTGATAAGAAGAGCATTAGATGTGGATGGTGTTTAGCGCTAAATGTGGCCCATTAGATGTAGGGACAAACATGCCTCAGTCACTATGTGGGGGCCTCGGATTTCTCACGTGTCTCTCGGATGTTGACTCATTGGCTCACTTGGTTTCCGCAGAAGGTCCTTTTGTCCGCGGAAAGGCACGACTTTGTACAGATTGCAAGGTTTGCCTTGTACTCGAAAGCCGCGTGATACATCGAGATGATACGCCTCCAAGGGACTGTCATTATCCGGAGGGATGCCCATTATGATAGTGCTTATGTTGTTTATTGTGATTTGCTACATGGACGAGATTTTTTACAGTCTCATGCCATGCATTAGAGACGTGAGTGTTTAGTTTCGGCACATTTATGAATGTGCTCGTTCTGCATTACCTTTATTTAGGATGTCAGGGCGAGAGCAAGAGGTCCGAGTGCGTGGTATCCTCCGCACGAGCACAGTTGACACTTATACCTTCAGGTACAAGGAGGACAGGCTAGAATCTGCTAGTACTTTGCATGCGTGAGGGAGTTGGCTAGAGCTACAATGAATTTGGCCGAGCAGCAGGTCAGGTCAGGCCAGGCGTGGCTGTGGCTCACACGAGAGGGTAATTTCATCTATGTTACTCATATGGGTATATCTTCATGATGCTTAAGAGCAAGGAATCAGCAGGAATTACGGGCTGAGGCAAGAGTGCCTTCTTTTGTGCAGAGGCGCACGTTTTTACGCGGTCTCACATTGCGGCGAGTTTTCTTATCCGAGCGCTGGTATGGATCCGAAGCTAGTCGGCAGCTAGCAAGGCTCGATTTGAGTGGTCTAGCGTATGCACACTAATGAGTAATGACTCTGTACAGGCTTGTTATTGGGCCTCCTCGGCATCGAGGCTGACAGCACTCGTAAAGTGCGCACCCTTGGCATCCTTCCAGCTGAAGGGACTCATGCGGGTTCAATGGAGGTGGACCAGCTATTCGGCAGGCATAGCTTCCGCTAGTCTGCGGTGGGATGCTCTGGGAGGCTTGAGGTAAATGGCTTTCCTTCACCAGGTAAGGCTTTTTTTGTCAGACGATGCTAGAAAGAGCTGAGGGATCAGTTTAGCCGGCTTAACCAGGCAGGGCTTGTTCTAGGCGCCGAGGGTGTTTGAAGGCTATTTCTGAGATACCAGGGCACTAGTCCAGCAATTGCTCACTTGAATCTGGTTGTTCTGAGGTCTGAGGGAACCGCCCGCGTTGCTCTTTTATGAACGATACACGATCCCGAGACGTGATCGTCTGAGGCGGGGCCTCCAACACGTTAGAGGGTTGGATGGGTCTTCGCATTCGAGAGTATAGAGCACCTGGGTAGATGCCTGCTGGCTCCATTGGAAATTATGATGAGAAGAGGGGAAAGCAGAGGGGCTCCAAAGGAGGGGGCCAAGATGGCCAGGGTGATGGTCTTCAGGGAGTACCACGGCAGATGCGGAGAGGATTATAACCGCTCCGCGCTAGCGATACCATCCCTCACAGGGCATGCGTAGTCTATTCCTTCAGGAGCGGCAAATCCTTTCCTCCAGAGGGGTGCCCATCAGGAGTCCAGCACCTGCGCAGCGGCTAACGAGCGGTGAGAGATTATGGTCTGATCAGCAATACAGCTAGGCCGGGAGGCGAGTTTGGGCCTTGGAACATTTTAGCTTATTCAGTGGGCCATAGCCTTTGCCTACCTAAGTTCCAGTAGGTGTTCCATATATGGTTCGGACCCATCTTTCTCGCACAAAGGCGCGAATGTGCGGGAGTCTAGAGGCAGAAATCTGCCCCCAAAGTTCTATCTAGCCGTAGAGGAGCACAACGCACGAGTCAGTTATGTCTATGAGGCAACTTGTGCTACGGTGTTCACTCGGGTGACATGCCATTGAAAGTTATTTGTAGAACAAGTGACTGGAACATTAGGCCGGTCAGTGCTTACCATCATATATCTTGCGGAATGTTGGCTTGTGGAACCTTTTTCGATGCCTCAAAATTGGTCCAAACTCCCCCCGAGAACGCATTCTCAGGGTGACCCAGAAGGCGCTTCTATGTCCTTGTTAATCAAAGTGTGGATCCTCGGCCCCACTTCGGGCAACTTGTGCGCATTCCAGTCTAGGAGGTTAATGTCCTCTAGGACGTCCTCTGCGTTTGAGTGCCCTCGCTACGTCGGTTGAGCCCGTACCTGCTCGGGTCTTACAAAAGCCAAACAACCCAGAGTTTTTGGATTCATCTACTCCCAAGTTTGTCCGATGTGCGCGTGAGGCCTCGAAGGGCCCATCCGCTAGGGTTCCGTTCGTCCATCGGTTCCTGTGGCCAGTGTGCTACGTTGTCTATTTGTAATTGCTCTCTCTGGGTGTGAGACATTCTCTCATGTATTAGTGTGTATTCAGGAGAAACACCCAAGGTTGCCTTCCTACGCGTTTGGAGAGCACTGCGATCCAGGACTGTTATCCCTTGGGGGTCAGCTTCTTTTGGTAGCGATGCCGTCCCCGAGAATCTCCTTCATGCGTGACAGATTTCTGCTAACCACTCGAAAAAGCCTCCATCCCGGGAAGGGTCTGGGTGAGGAAGATACCTCTAGTTGTCTCCTTTGTTTCCTGGTGTGTGCTGGGGCAAGAGCGTACCTTTGTTATGAGACTTAAATGTGTTTTAAGTTTATGCACCACCCGCCCTTGGTTGCTGCCACATTCTCATTTCCCGTTCTGTTAAATCGCGGGGCGCGGCATTGGCATCAGCCGATTGTGATTGGGATCTGTTTGTTAAGCACCAACCAGAACGTGGCGCTCGCTGAATTATTGTGTGTATGCAAGCGAGCGCGTGCGGTTGATAGATTCTGCACATCATGAACAGAAAGGGACGACCGATAGAGGTTTGTTGCTGGACATTTTCTTCCCAGAGATTTTGGGATTTCGGCCGCGACCAATACATTAGGCTTCCTTTTCCCCGTTGTTCCGTCAATGCTCTATCATGAACGTGCGTTTCCGGCGCAATGTTATTTGGATCCGCAGACAGAGATTCTTTCTCGCGATAATCGCGATCCGGAAGGGCTTCAGTCCGGCTGTTACTTGCTACTGCCGACCCGCCAGGATCTGAGAATCACGTTATGTATACCTTGAGCGGATAGGCGCGCAGGTCGCTTCTCCATGCTTTGCTGGGCACCATCTCTCGGTGTTGGTTAGTGACGTTTGCCACCCTGCGGTGCGGTATTATGTAGTGTGGCCGAGGGGGAGAAGTCAGCTTCCCACTTTTGGTCTCTACTTGCTACGCTTTGAGAGTGGGTGGAGTGTGATGAGACCCTTCAATTCTGTACGTATGGGCTCCTGGAGCGCGAGGGTGGCCTTGTAGAGCCATATTCGTTGCAGGGTTTACCCAGCTCCTCGCATCGTCTAGTTTCCCCGAAGATCCTTGGGTAGTATTGCCCACCGGCGTCTATAACGACGAACACGCCAATGTTACGTCCTGATTTGGATTTGGTCAGTCCCCAGCCGGCGCGCCCCAGAGATTCTCTCTATGTGTGTTCTATACCCTCCACCCTCGTTTTGGCTCCCAGTCAGAAAGTTGGGTTGAGTGAAAGTTCAGCTCCAGGAAATGCTAGATAAAGCGGGCTCATTCTGATCTTTCGCCATTTCCTCTTACATCGTTCTACCGACATGGAACGAGTCACCGCCCAACATTGCTTTGGCGGTTATAACAAGTAGGGATA